TAATGTTAATTTAAAAAATGTGACAACAGAATTTAAGAAGTTATATTGTCACAGTCTTCTTTAAAGTATCAAATTGATGCCAAAAATGTGAATCAATTTTTTATTTAATCCACATTTTTTATATCAATTCGTTGCAATTCGATATTTTTAAGTTAAAAGCAAACTTTGTTCGTATAACTAAAAGTAATTAATTTAATAACTTTCCACTCAATTCCTATACATAATGGTATAGTTGAATTTTTCGACTAAATTCTTTTTCAGTTTGCAATAAGCAGCAGTTTATAAAGAAAAAAAATTCAAACGAGAGACAATTATAAAACAGTACGCTTGTAAATTAATTTACTCCAAGAATTTGCTTAAAGACAGAAGGAAAAAAAGGAAAAGAAAAGAAACATTTTGAAAAGTAAGACATTGAAGTTATCGACTAAATTTCGATGTTAATTTTAATGAACTCGCCTTGTTAACTTAACGAAATGCCAAACCAACTTCTTCTTCTTCTTCTTGATTGAAAAAAAGGAATTTAATCCCTATATAAATATCTTAAATAAACTCTTGAAACGACTTTCAAACTACTTTACCGCATTCAGCAAAAAACAAATATTCGCACAATTATTAACTAATGATTAGAGTTCCTTCGCATTCTGAGAGGAAAAGAAGAAGGAGAAGAAGAAGAAGAAATTACCATCGATCCAGTTCAAAGGCAAAATAACTTTATAATTTCTTCGTTCTCTCTCTCTCTCTCTCTCTCCATCGAAATGTTCATGAATGCAGATTTTATCTCTAGCCAATCAAGAATCTGGTGTCCAGAAATTTTTTTCTGAATATTGTAGATAAAAAACAGAAGGTGATAACGATTCTAAGAAAAGGATGAAATGGTCAAAGTTTTTGGTGGAGAGAGAAGAAAAAAGGGGGCGGGGGTGGGGTGAAGAAAAAATATGGTTAATACACGTGGAGAAGAATGGCATGTGTATATAAGAGTGTGGCACGCCTTTTCTGGACCATTCTTCCGGTATGCAAGAGAGAGAGTGAGAGAGAGAGAGAGAGAGCAGAATCGGCGTAAAGTTTGAATCTCTGAAACCCCAGGATCGTTGCTAGCTGCTCTGGGGGTTGGTTCGACCCGGCTCTGTCTGCCCCTGGCATCCTCCTCCCCAACTTGCCCCTAGGCTCCCAGCATCCGGTTCGATCGATACGAAACTCTGCTCTTGCTTTATACCGTCGACGTCCTGTCTGGAACGTGATGCAGTTATATGTCATAGTTACGTGTATATACATACATGCCAGACTATACTTGACGCCATCTTTCCATATCAGACGCATAAGAACTTTGAACCCCTTTTAGTGTATCACACGAAAAAGAAATTTTTTATAATTTTTGATTAAAAATTTCTCGAAAAGAATTTTTTTTTTACTCCTCAGGGAGAAATTTCTCTTTTTATCAAAGGGGAATAAAAGAAGTGTTTTTATTCTAGGGAAACAAGAAGTATTTTTTTGTTTTAGGAAAAACAGCATTTTTTCTACGTTTACTAACACTTCTCCCTAGATTTAAAACTAAAATTTTATTTTATTTATTTTATTTCTAAAATTCAAAAAATTCTTCTTTTTTATCTAAAACAAAAAATACTTATTTTCTTCCCTAGAATAGAAAATACTTCTTTTTTCCTAAAACATAAAATACTTTTTTGAAACTAGGGAGAGAAAATGCATTTTTTATCCCAAGGGGCAAAAGAAGTGGTTTTCATTCTAGGGAATTGAGGAAGTATTTTTTTCTTCTATGAAACAAAAGAGGTTTTTTTTACTTTAGGGAACAAAAGAAGTGTTTTTTTTAATGTTAGAAATAATAATTACTTCAATGGAAAAAAGTATTCTTAACTCTAGAGATAAAAATCTCTTCAAAACTAGGCTCAAAAATTAAGTTAATATCCCAGGGAATAAATTAGCCATTTTCACTCTAGGGAGGAAAAATACGTTATTAAACCCAAGTAAAAAAGACGTTTTTAACTCTAAAAAATTAAAAGCTAAAAAAATCTCTTATTCCTTAAAATCTGTGCCGAAAAATTGAGTTTATATTCCTAGGGAATAAAATGTGCCATTTTAATATCGAGGGAAAAATACCGCCATTAATAATTCCAAGAATGAAAATATAGAATTTTTTTAACTCTAGAGAGAAAAATAAGTTTCATAAATCCAGGCAGAAAAATTTAGTGAATATTTTTAACTAAAAAAATTTATAGAATTGAGAGGGAAAGTGTGTTATTAATTAATTTTAAGGAACGAAGTGATTTTCAAAGAAAGAAGGTAGAAAATAGGCCTTTTTGACTCTAGAGAGAAAAATTGCGTCAGTATCTGCATGGGAAAAATAATCCATTTAAAAAATTAACAAATTTTTATGAATTAACAAAAAGAATTATTTTTTCCCATAGGAATATTAACTCAATTTTTTTTCTTTATTAAAAGAGGCGTTTTATTAAACTTGAAAAAAATAGTCTTAATTATAGAAATAAAAATCTCTTAAAATCTAGGATGAAAAATTGAGTTAATATTCCTCGGGAATAAAATCTGCAATTTTTACTCTAAGGAAGAAAAAATACGTTATTTAAACCAAAATAAAAATGACCGCTTTCAACATACTAGGAAAAAAGTTTTTTTTAAACATTCAAACTACAGTTTATTAATTTTGAAACAAGCTTTTTTAAACCTCGGGAGAAAAATAGGCCATTTTTGCCCAAGTGCTCGTAATATAGCGTTTAAACTTTAAAAATTGAAAAATAAATAAAAGTGAGATTAAAAAATAAAAATTGGAAAAAATTTACCGTGCTCCATATAATTAAAAAATATATGTAAGTAATAGTAATAAAATAAACAAAGAATAGGAAAAAAAATCGTCATAAAGAAACCAGATAATAAGTAAAAAAAAGTAAAAAAATCGTCAATAAGAAAAAATAGTAAAGAAAATCGATAATAAGTAAAAAATAGTAAAAAAATAGTAAAGAAAATCGTCAATAAGTAAGAAATAGTAAAGAAAATCGTCAATATGTAAAAAAATCGTCAATAACTAAATAATAGTAAAGACAATCGTCGATATGTAAAAAATACTAAAGAAAATCGTCAATAAGTAAAAAATAGTAAAGAAAATCAACAATAAGTAAAGAATAGTAAAAAAATAGTAAAGAAAATCGTCAATAAGTAAAAAATAGTAAAGAAAATCGATAATAAGTAAAGAATAGTAAAAAAATAGTAAAGAAAATCGTCAATATGTAAAAAAATCATCAATAAGTGAAAAGTAGTAAAGAAAATCGTCATTATTGACGATTAAAAATTACTAAAAATTACTTTACTAAAAAATAGTAAAGAAAATCGATAATAAGTAAAGAATAGTAAAAAAAATAGTAAAGAAAAGCGTTAATAAGTAAAAAATAGTAAAAAAAATCATCAATAAGTGAAAAATAGTAAAGAAAATCAATAATAAGTAAAGAATAGTCAAAAAATAGTAAAGAAAATTGTCAATATGTAAAAAATAGTAAAGAAAATCGTCAATAAGTAAAAAATAGTAAAGAAAACCGTTAATAAGTAAAAAATAATAAAGAAAATCGATAATAAGTAAAAAATATTAAAGAAAATTGTCAATTAGTAAAAATAGTAAAGAAAATCGTCAATTAGTAAAAATAGTAAAGAAAATCGTGAATATGTAAAAAAATCGTCAATAAGTAAAAAATAGTGAAAAAATTCGAAAGGAATTTATCAACACTTGATTAGAAAAAAATGCACCAAACGATTTGTGAATGATTTCAATTTTCCCCCTGCGATAAATAGAAAAAAAAATGTTTCTGCCCACGATGAGTGACTCCATCGTTAGGAGTCAGTTATAAATGGAGCGTTGTTATCGAAAAAGATGCCTTTTACAGTCAGTATGGTAGGTAGACGACCGACACTTCCAAAACGATATAGTATGTATTCTGGTAGAAACTTTGAGACTCTTTTACGAGTTTTCAAGGGTCATAAAATAGCTTCAGTAATGGATGAACGACAAGCACGCGCATCAATTAGGAGTCTTTCTAATTTTAATTGCGACGCTCGCATTTAGTGAAAAACTAATTTTAGTTTATCTCACGTTCACTCATTTAAATATAATCTTATCGGGAAAAATTTTCCCTCACAAGATGGAAGTTAAAACAAGAAATTCGATCTCAAAGAAAAACTATAGAAAATGTCACGAAACTGTTTCCAACAGTTTCCTGCTGTTTTCTTAAAGATTCATTTTTTTTCTCCCACTAATATATATATATATATATTTAGTAGTAAAATTGATAAAAATGAGGGAAAATTTTGATATTTGAAATTCAAAAATATTTAAAAGTTTTTTGATTTCTGTTTAGCGCGGCTACTCGAATATTTCATTACTTAATTTTAAGAAAAAATGTTGGTTATAATTTACAGCATCCTTCTCTTTCATTAAAAGACTCTTTCGTCTCGAACAAATTGTTCATTATAAACTTTATTACTATCACTTTATTATAACTGAAAAGTTTATAACCAACAAGTCGATAACTTTTGAGCAACTGATTCATTATAATCTGAAATGTATAATAATTTTTTTATTCTCGAAAAAATACATTTTATAAATATTTTTCTTCTTTTTTTCTGATTCTTTTCGTACTCTTTTCACTCTCGCATATATGAGAGATGATGGTAATTAATTTTTGTCGAACGAAGCAAAAAAGAAATTAAGTACTCAATTTATTCATTAAATTGTCAGCTTTTTTATTACTTCCTGAAGAGATTTTTAATTAATTTTCACAATAAATATTATCACTTTTAGCTAAATGATTTTTTTTAAATTATGTTAAACTAAATGATGTTCGTTCAAAAATGAAGTTTCGCCCCCAAAGAAAAGGTGAATTTTTTCCAAAAGGATTTTCTTCCCTTTAAAAATAGAAAAATAGAATTTTTTTTTTTGAAAATTTATTTGCACGAAGGATAACGGGTGATTTTTTTAATTACAGAATATTCGGCGCAAGGACACCCACACACACCGTCATTATTCAACTGTTCATGGACGTTCAGTTCGACATAAACAGGATGTGTGACATGCAACATTTGAAGGACATTTGCCCCGGGGAGAAATCATCTAAAAATATTTCATTTATAAACTTTCATATTATAAAATATTTTGAAAGTGAAAAAAAAAATTATTTTCGCTTTTTTAATTTATATAATTAACAATAATTTTTACTAATTATCGAGACAACAGAAAGCGTTATAATAAAAATTTTCTGTAAAATATTTTGAATTTTGTGAAAAAAAATAATTTTTACTAAATCTTTAATTTTTCTAATAAATAATCATTTTTAGATTTTTACTAATCAGATTATAAAAAGCGTTAAACAAAAATTACTCACTAATTTAATATTTTCAACATTTTTACTGTTTAATTTTTAATTTTTATAATCGACGATAATTTTTACTGATCATCGACTATAAAAAGCGTTAATCAAAATTTACTCATTATAATATAATATTTTCAATAAATTTTTAATTTTTATAATTAACAATAATTTTTACTAATCATCGACTATTAAAAGCGTTATAATCAAAATTTTCATTAAATTTAAAATTTTTATAATCAGCGATAATTTTTACTAATCAACGACTATAAAACAAAATTTACTCACTAATCTAATGTTTTCAATAAATTTTTAGTTTATATAATTAACAATAATTTTTATTAATCATCGACTATAAAAAGCATTAAAATCAAAATTTTCTAAAAAATATTTTGTAATTTGTGGAAAAAAAATATTATTTTCACTAAATTTTTAGTTTATACAATTGACAATAATTTTCATTAATCGTCGACTATAAAAAGCGTTATAATCAAAATTTACTTGCTAATCGAATATTTTCACTAAATTTTTAAACATAATTTCAAAATAATTTTGAAAGAAAAACAATTTTTTTAAGTGTAAACTTTAAAAAAAAATTTGTACTTTTAGATATAATTTTAAATTTTGTGAAAAATTCTTTTTTAAAAATTATTCAGTTCGTAGAAACTAGAAACACAAATTTTTAAAAGTGTAGACTTTTTACAAAAAAATTTTATTTCTGAATTTTTATTGAATGTTTAATTAAATGTTAATTTAATTTAATGTTTCGTTAAACATTGAATTTCGAAATTATGCAAACGGAGAGAGAAATAAATATTAAATTTTTGTAAAAGTATTTTAGAAATCGGGTAAAAAGTGCGTCAAAGCGAAATTTTGATTAAAAAAATACTAAAATTTAAAAGAAACTCTCTGAAATTTAGTGAATTTTTATTTAATTAATATTCTTGCTATTTTGAGAAATTAAAGTTTTTTCTAAAACTTTAGTATTTTATAAAAAAATTTCGTTTTGTCGCTTTTTTCCCCAAAAATTGTAAAATATTTTTATAAAATATAATATTTTTCTCTCCTTCTTAATATGTTTCGAGAAAAACAGAAATTTTTTTATCTTTAAAAATGTATCGACTTTTAATAAAAAAAAATCATTTTAGAATAATATTTCTGTTGATAAATAATTTATTTGTTAAACATATTCGAGAAATAAAATAAATAATATGATTAATATTTTCTCTTTCTTCTTTTTTTTGCATTGAAAACCTTTAGATGTGGAAGCACGAAATTGACCAAAAATTATGTGCCTTCAAGATCATACTTTTAGTGAATTTATGCACATTTTCAACTAAACGGCAATGCGCGCGTCTTGAATACAGAAATAACTTTGCACATTTAATGAATTGACAACATCTGATAGGAAAAATTTAAGGCCGATCTTTTTCATCCCAGTATATATTTAGAAGAAAACGAACTTCAATTTTTAATTTTCAATACTGAAAATAATTTTTCTCGTATACATATTTTTATCAATTTTCGTATTTTTGGAGAATATTTTAAATAAGAAAAATTTTATTCTAACACTTTTGTTCCAATTTATATCGAATTCCATTTTTTGGACAAGATTTTTTATTTTGTTTTATTAAAACAAATTTATTTTTATTTAAACAAGTTTTTTTAATTTAAACAAATTTATTTTTATTTAAACAGATTTATTTTCATTTAAACACATTTATTTTCATTTAAACACATTTATTTTCATTTAAACACATTTATTTTTATTTAAACAAATTTATTTCCATTTAAACACATTTATTTTTATTTAAACAAATTTATTTTTATTTAAACAAGTTTATTTTTATTTAAACAAATAAAATGAATAAAAAGACGGAAATGTAAAATTTGATGAACTTGAAACGATTGGAATGAAGAAAATGGGGAAAAAAAATTTTCTGAACGAGAAATTATAAACTGGAAAGAATTTTTTAAATGTTGTTGGAATGTTTTTTTAGTACATCAATTATATATTTATAGGAATTTTTTACGATTTGTGTCTTTGCAAAACTACTCGAATTGGGTAGAATAAAAAATCTTTTTTTTTTGTTGCTTTTTTTTTAATAAATACAACTCCCTCGAAAGTAGGCGCCAATTTTATAAAATGTATTACGAGCAGAATATTGTGCAATTAGAGTAAAATTAAACGATAATTGAGTCGTCAGGGGAGGCATAAAGCGGCTAGTCGATATAAATACAACTTCTGTGTTGTACAAGTGACGTCAATATTCCCGCAGAAATGTAATAATTTACTTTTTCATTTTTCAGTAAAAATCATAAAAAAAAATTTTAAAAATTAAAATTATTTAATTTAATTAAATTTTTGAAATTGACACCAAAAAAACGGAATTTCGAAAAAATTTAGAAGTAATTTTTAGAATTTACCCAGAGAGAGAATTTTCTGAAAATATTGAATTTTTTTTTTTGTAAATTGAGACAGAGAATATTTTCAAAGTACGATTTAAATTTAGGAACAATTTTTTCGAAATTATTCACGCGGCAAAGATTATTGGGTTTGAAGTTATTCGAATTTCTTGGGTTCGGCCATATTTAAAGAAAAATTTTGACAAGTGGATCGAATAAGTACATGTTTTTTGAGTGCGTCGCATTTTTTTTCCCCGAACATGCGACTGTGTGATGTTTTATATTCTTTCCGGTTTTTCAATCCGGGCCATATGGCTCTCACGATTCTTGCCGACGCGCCTCCCTTGGCAAAGTATAAAAGAGCGAGCGGTCGAACTCTCGTGACCCTCCTCCGCTCTGATCGATAATACTGAGGTCTTTCCTCCAACTCTTTTTTTTCCAGACGACAAAAAACCTCCTTTCAAAGAGAGGAACTTTCCATCTATTCTATCCATTCGAGGACATCAAATCTATAAAAGTCAAAAGAGAAAAGTACGGAAGAAAAAAACAAAATTATCTTTTCATTCAGAATAAAAAAATATTTTTCATCCGATTCATTAAGCATGATGATTATTATAAATATTTTTCATAATTTTTACACAAAAACGATCGAAAAAAAATTCTATGGAAAAATAAATAAATGAAAAAAAAATGTAATAATAAATTAATAGAAATAAAAATATATATTTTCTTTCTCTTTCTTTAATTTTTCATAATTTATTATTGCAACCAGCGACAATTCGCTTTAGCGCGCGGCTAACTTTTTACTTCACTTTTTAAATAAAATTAGCAATTTTAAAAATAATAGAATTCAAAAATTTTAAATTCAAATTTTTGTTGAAAACACTAAAATAATTCAATTTTGGAGAAATTGCAAATAATTTATTGCAGAAATTCAATTATTTTCAAAAGTAATAAAATTCTTTTCATAAAATTCAATTATGTTTAAAATTAAAAAAAAATTCTCTTAAAAATCCTAATTATCTTTGTAAATAACAAAATTTTTCCCCAAAGTTCAATTATTTTCAAAAATGACAATAAAATTCTTGCCCTAATTTCAATTATTTTCAATATCTACTATTTTAATAAAATTTTACGAGAAAAATTCGATTATTTAAAAAAAATCTAATAAAATCGTACACAAACATTTAATTATTGTCAAAAATATTTAAAATTCCACAGGAATTCAATTATTTACAATTTTTTTTAAATAAATTTCTTCGTAATAATTCAATTATTTTCATAAATTTTTAATTATTATAAATTATTATAAAACATGAAGAAATCGATCACTCCGAGTCTTCGGCTCGGAGTGATCGATATCTTCATGTTTTATAGCAAAATACTATTATAAGTTGTTTAATTTCAAAAAGGTTTGAATTTGGAATTTTTGAATGTCTTTATTCGGAACATTTTTTTTTAGGAAAATTTTTTCCTTTATTTTCTAAAAATTCTAAAATTTTCATTTTCAATGAAAATTTGTAATTGACAAATAGAATTTATAAACATTTGTTTCGTTTATTTTTAAAAAAAACTTTGAATTTTATTAAAACAATTGTAATTAAAAAATTGAAATAATGTAAATTCTGTACTCTCTAAATTTGAATTAGTTAAAAATAACTAATTTGATAGCAAAAAGTCAGTCACTGATTCAAACAGTATTAATTTACTAATAAAATAGTTAAAAATAACTAATTGTTAAATTCAGTTTTTAATTTATGTAAAAATAAGTAACTAACTGAAATTTTTGAAAACTAAGTCAATTAGTCAAAATTTGACTGTTTTTTTTTTGTTATTTATTTTCTAATTAACTAATTTCTACTAATAAATAATTATTTTCTACTAATTGCTGAAGCACAAGTTTAGTCAAAATTTTAGTCAACAATTAAGTCCACAATAAGTAACAATAAGTTATTTTTAACTAATTTATATTTAGAGAACTCTCTAAATTTGAGTTAGTATTTTTCTAGTTAGTTATTTGCTATTAATAATTAGCTATTTTCTACTAAGATTTAGCTATTTCTGCTAATAATTAGCAATTTCGACTAATAATTAGTTATTTTCTACTTATATTTACATTTCTAGTGATAATTAGTTATTTTCTACTTATAATTATTTTTCTAGTAATAATAAGTTATTTTCTACTTATAATTACATTTCTAGTAATAATTAGTTATTTTCTGACAATATTTAGTTATTTTCAACTAGTAATTAGTTATTTCTACTATAAACTAATAATTCGTAATTATCCATTGATTTTTTTTACTAATTTCTGAAGCAAAAAGTCAACTACGCCCAGTAAACGAAAACTAATTGAAATGAATTAAAAAGAATTCACAAAGAGCTTTCGTGAATCCCGCTTTGTGACAAATACGAATTGGAGCCATGATGCAATTTTCCTGAATTC